GCTTGATGTTCATTTTTAATTTTTATTCTATTAATTCATATACTGGCTTAGTGAGTAGCCAGCAAGGAGAGGCTGCTCAGTCCCAGGGTGCTGTGAGTTCACCCTTTGAGACTGTCATCCCACACTAAACACAATCCAGAAAACGACAGTTTTTTGTTTCTTGTTTTTTGTTTTTGAGATGGAGTCTCTGTCACCCAGGCTGGAGTGCAATGGTGCCATCTCAGCTCACTGCAACCTCCCCCTCCCGAGTTCAAGCAATTCTCCTGCCTCAGCCTCCCAAGTAGCTGGGACTACAGGTGCGCACCATTACACCCAGCTAATTTTTGTATTTTTAGCAGAGACAGGGTTTCACGGTGTTGGCCAGGATGGTCTTGATCTCCTGACATGGTGATCTGCAGGCCTCAGCCTTCCAAAGTGCTGGGATTACAGGCATCAGCCACCACTGTGCCCAGCTAACAGATAAAAATTTTAAGTGTTTTTTAGATATAGCCACTTTAAAGAGTTCAATATCTCTGTGGCCCAGAAACAGAATAGAAAAATGCAGCAGTATAATAAAAGGGCTGAAGCCATAGTCTCCCTGTTTCTGTATCCAGAAGTAGCCAGGAAGTAGGAACCCAGATATAGGAGACATGGAATCAGGTCTACTGTGTAAGGCTGGGCAGACCTTTCCCCTACTGTGAAACAAGGCTGATGAAAGTTGCAAAGGCTGCGCAGATTACAGTTTGTAGGAAGCAACACTGCCTGCTCAGGAACTGAATCTCTATCTCTAGTATCGCTGTAGGATGAATGCTCCAATCTACCTATAAGAACGGTCAATGCCCTAGTTACGTATGAAGTCCTTCTATGAAAATCAAGTGAAGAACCCACTGATTTGTAGGTAAACATTTTAGTATACAGCTGCTGCTTATCATGGAGTTACCTCTCGATAAGCTCACTGAAAATACCATGTGGTGAAAATGCATCTAATACCCATAACCTACAAAACATCATAGCTTAGCCTAGTCTACCTTCTTAAGGTTCAGAACACTTAAGTTAGCCCACAGTTGAGCAAAATCATCTAACACAAAGCCTATTTTATGATAAAGTGTTGAATATTTTGTGTAATTTATTGAATATAACATGGTTGTATGGGTACTCAAAGTATAGTTTCTACTAAATGTGTTACCATTTCTGCACCATCATAAAGTTGAAAAATCTTAACTTGAACCATCTGTAACTGTGTATTTGCTTTTCTGGGGAAATGTGATATTTTGAAATATATATTTGGTCTTCACCCCATCTCCTGGCATACAAGTCCTAGAATCCTTGAAATGTCCAAAGTGATGGGTGTCTTTTTTATACTAATGATTGAAGGCTGGTCACCCCTCGGTACCTTTAGGAAGGGGCTGGTAACTGGAAAGATGAAGGCATAATTAGAGGACTGAGACTTTCAGCCCCAACCCCAACCTCCAAGGAGGGGAGAGAGGCTGATGGTTGAGTTGATCACCAGTAACCTGATTTATTCAGTCATTCTGACATAATGAAGCTTCAGTAAAAAGCAAAGGAGCTGGGTTCAGGGAGCTTCCAGAGAACTGAACACATGAGGACTCCTGGAGGGTGGTGAGCCTGTAGGGGGCATGGGAGCTTCGCCTTCCTTCCCACGTGCCTTTCCTATGCATCTCTTCATCTCCCCATCTGTACCCTTTGTAGTATTCTTTATAATAAACTAGTAAACCTAAGTGTTTCCCTGAGTTGAGAGCCACTCTAGCAAATCAGTCAAATCAGAGGATGAGGTAGAGGGAACCCTAATTTAGAGCAGATGGGTCAGAAGTATAAGTGAAAACCTATTACTTGTGATTGGTGTTCAAAGTGGGGGTCAACCGTGTGAGGCTGAGCCCTCTCACCCTGTGGGGTCTAGAGAGAGCATCAGAATGGGGCTGAATTAGAGGACATGCAGCTGGTGACCACTAAAGAATCTACTAGAGAACAGGCTGCTGGTGGGGAGAAATCCCCACACACTTCTTGGTGACCAGAAGTCACAGAAGTATTCTGTTTTGAGAGAGTAAAAGCAGAGTAAAGGAGAAAAAACTGTTTTTTTCCAGAGGAAAGTTCCATATTTTTCACCAAATTTTCAGTGAGGTCTGTGATCCACAAATAGCAAAGGCCCACTGCCCTATTATATGTCTGAGTTGACATCATGGCCTCTGGAGTTTGCCTCAGTGTTTAGTTCTGTCATTTATTTCTTCAAATATCTGCATGACCACTATGTGCAACACACTGTTTGTGAGCATTAGAAACACAGCAGAAAAAAAACACTAAGTCTCACTTAGTGAGCGAAGGGAAGGACCAGAGTGAATGTCTTCGGACATAAATCAGATCACATCCTGTCACTCTGTCAAGACTCTCTAGTAGGTGCACAGTTAAGTTCCATAACAGTATTATTCACAATGGCCAACAGGTGGAAGCAACCAGTTGTCCACCAAACAGATGAATGGATAAACAGAATGTGATGTTTATATACAATAAAATATGACCCAGCCTTAAAAAAGAAAGAAGCTCTAACATGTTACAGCATGATTAAATCTTGAGGACATTATGCTAAGTGAAATAAGCAGTCCCAAGAGGACAGATACTGGTGATTCGACTTCTATGAGTAACTAGTCAAATTCATAGAGACAGAAAGGAGAATGATGCCTGTCGGGGGGGAAAAGGAAAAGGGGAGTTGTTATGTAATGGGTGGAGTTTCAGTTTTGCAAAATGAAAAGGTTCTGGAGATACGTTTCACAACAATATAAATATAGTTAACACTACTGAACTATAAACTTAAATGACTAAGATAATGATTTTTTATCATAATTTTAAAATAAAGAAATTTTTGTCACCTTACTTATTTGCTTGCAAATTCTAGGAGGACAAAACTAATTATCCACACAGGCCAGCAATAAGAGAAAATCTCAAAAACGTGGTTTTAAAAAAAATTACCAAGCACCCCAAAACCTAAAATGCAATAAAATATATATTTTTTTAAAATTACCATACGCATTACTGATTATTGAAATGAGACCCATATGTAGTAACACAGTCATATTATCTGCTACTTGAATTACTCATAGGTACAAAGGAATTAAATATGTAATGGTACACAAATAAATACGAATATTTGTATTAACATACTACTAGCTGCTATAATAAACTTCTCCAGAGGTTTCCAAATTCACTCAGATGAGAGCTTACTATAGCCAACAGGGCCCTACACAACCTAGCTCCCCGCTGCCTGACCTCGTTCACCGCCACCTCCCCTAGCCACATTGGCCTCCTTCATGTTCTTGGACCCCCTAGGCCTCCTCCCACTGCAGGGCCTTTGCACCTGCTTCTTTTTCTGGCTGGCTTACTCCCTTGTATCACTCAGATCTCTGCTCAAATGTCACCTCAAATGAGAGGCCTTCAGTTTTTAAACAAAATCAAAAAATGGAATTGAATTGGACCCTCTCCCCTCTGTCCACCCCCCACCTGCCCAGTTATACTCTCTCCCTTGCCCTCCTTTTACTTCATAGCACTTAATACCATACAGTATTTTATATACGTTTGCTTATATATTATCTGTAAGTGCTAGAATATAAAGTGTATGCAAGCAGAGTCACTTTTATTTATTGACATACACCTCAGTGCCTAAAACAACTCTTCCGGCACATTAGGTTCTCTCTTTATACAAAAGAAGGAAAAGAATAAAGAAAGAAGAAAAAAGAGAGGTAAAGAGGATAGGGGAAGAAGAGAAAAGAAACCAAAAAAAAAAAAAGGAAAAGGAGAAGGTGTCTAATAACTGAGGGCTACTCTCCTGGTCTAACTTGTTTCTAAGGCTGCTCACTTTCCTAAAACCAGTAAATTATTTTCTCTCTTTAATTATCTGGGGTTTTTTTTGTTTTTTTGAAACAGGGTCTCACTGTCGCCCAGGCTGGAGTGCAGTAACATGATCTCGGCTCACTGCAACCTTCACCTCCCAGGTTCAAGTGATTATTCTGCCTTAGCCTCCCGAGTAGCTGGGATTACAAGTATGCACGACCAAGCCTAGTTAATTTTCTTATTTTTGGTAGAGACAGGGTTTTGCCATGTTGGTCAGGCTGGTCTCAAACTCCTGGTTTCAAGTGATCCACTTGCCTCAGCCTCCCAATGTGCTAGGATTATAGGCATGAGCCATCGCACCCAACCAGATTTTTTAATTTACAATGTTAATGTTCCCTTTTATTAGTATTATACACATAATTAAAAAGCTGACTTACTCTCATACCTGCTGAACAATGGAATAAAAGATAATTTTTTAAGGACATACAACTTGCTCTACTTAGCTCAAGGTAAACAAATTTCAGAAAATATTTCTCAATTATCAGGGAAGTTACCTGATGTAAGAATAGCACTGAATTTGACAGCTTCATTACTATGCTTGTTTAACTGACTCATGGACTATTTTACACAAGAGTAAATTTCCTGGTTTCTAATTACTTGAGGAACTTGTGACAATCACAAGGTCCTGTTTTTTTTAAAATGCATTATGCTAAGTCACCAATATTCATAGAAAGGCTTTAAAAGAAATAGTTCATTTTTTTAGAAGGACCTGAAACTGCTAAATTTCCCTCACATCTTACATGGCTCTTCTTTTGAGTGGCCTTCAGTAGACACTTTCCATCTCAATTCTATTTTGATTTTCTCTTCTAGCTAAAAATTCTTGAGATCCCTAAAGGGACTTAATGTTCTAGGCATCAACAAAACCATAGTTCTTGAGTTGCTGCCAGGCTCCTAAGGCAATGAGCTTAGTTCTTTGCCTCCCTTGCCCTTCATGAAGCCTTACAGTCATGGGACTGGGTGTGGGTGTTGACAACAGAATGGAACAGATAGCTACACAGTCATTCATGACTAATGAGAAAGCTAAATGTATGTCTCCATCTTTACGGTTTTCTACTTCATAGCACTACACACGCATGCATGCACACACACACACGTTTTCTTTCTTTCTTTTTTTTTTTGAATGTGAGCCAAATATTGATTTCTTCATTTTTTGCATTTGAAGTACTCTTCAATGATATCCTTGCCCTGAGACTCCCCGCCATAGTCCTTAACTACTATACAACTGCAAACAACCACTTTATGGGGCTTTCCCTCTCTGTCAATTTTACAAAGGCCGACCCATTCCCCTAGTTTCTTGTTGTCATCAACCTTAATTAGGTTAATTTGGTGTTCAGCACAAAGGGCCTCCACCAACTTGACATACATAGGCTCATCACAGTTGTATGCAAGCACACAAAGATGGGCTTGGCACTTGTCTAAGGCTTTGGCAGCTTCTCGAATTCCACGTGCTAGGCCATCGTGGAGGAGGGCGGTCTTCCGCACTTCTTGTAAAGCAGTATTAACGTCCATTACACCTCCAGCAGCAATGCTGAAACGTGACACTACATCAGATCCATCAGTTCAAACCTCACACCGCATAAAGCCTTGGACTCATCAAAGACTGAGTCGGCCATGGCTGTGGGTTACCAGTAAAGCCGAATCTTGAACGAACACAAGCCTCCATCTCCGCATGAATCGGCAACGGCAGGGAAAGAGTTTGTTTTCTTATTATAAAAGCAAATCACATTCATTATAAATCTCAGAAAATATAAGCAATCTAAAAGAACATTAAAAAATTTATCTGAGAATGTTCATAGCACAAAGAAATGTGTTTATAACACAAAGAAATGCATTTGTAACACAAAGAAATGTGTTGAGGTGATGGCTACTCCCATACCCTGATGTGATTATTGCACACTGCATGCCTGTATCAAAATACCTCATATACTCCATACATACATCTACCTACTAGGTACCCAGAAATTTTTTTTTTAATTATCTCAGGCAATCACTATGAACTAATACAACCACTTACTTTAGTTGTTCAAGATCACATTCTTTGCATTTTTACCTATTTTATAGTCTCTTTGATACTACAATGAACCATCATTCCACATACTCAATTCCATTCTATCCATTTGTTTCTAATAATGTAGAGTCTTCTGTTGCACAACATTTAGGTAGATTCCACCTTTCCTCTTATAAACAGTGCTGCAAACAAGTATCTTCTTGCTTCGTTTTCCCACATATTCTTAGTTATTTTCTTTGGAAAAGCTCCCAGAAGTAAAATTACTTGATTAAACCCATGCTCTTAGATGTGTGGTATGTGCTACCCAATTGCTCTCTAAAAAGTTAACTCCAATCTCTACTCCAGCCTTTGCATATGAAAATACAGGTATTATCCTCTGGTAACTGAGTTCCTTTGTAACAAAGTTTTACATTTAGGTGATGGCAATAATAACAACAACAGTATCTGCCATTCCAGGAACTCTTGTTCTATCTATTCTCTAATCCTTACAACAGCCCAAGGAACATGTACTAATATCCTCCATTTACAAAGAAACTGAGGTTCCATAGGGTAAAGAGTTACAAAGAAGCAAAATTGAGGATTACTAACAGAACTCTGAAGCAGCAGTCCTCAATCTTTTTGGCACCAGGGATGGGTTTCACAGAAAACAATTTTTCCACATCTGGAGGTGGGATGGTGATAAAACTGTCCCACTTCAAATCATCAGACATTAGATTCTCATAAGGAGCACAGAGCCTGGATCCCTGCATACACAGTTCACAACGGGTTCACACTTCTATGAGAATCTAATGTCACTGTTGATCTGACAGAAGGGGGAGCTCAGGTGGTAATGCTCTCTCAAATGCCACTAACCTTCCTAACAGGCCACAGACTTGTACTGGTCTGTGGCCCAGGGATTGCAGACCCCTGCTCTAAAGCACCCAAATGGTACACAATATTTTAAGGAAAACAGAGTCTGCTCTAAAATGTGTGGTGTGCTAGAGAGCTCCTATCAAGGACTATCAAGAGTCAAGCTGTCCAATATTCAGGAATCTCACAAGCTGGTTGAGGAAACCTCTGACAGCCTGAAACTGGCAAGGTGGGAGTACTTATACCACAGAAATTCATGTTTGAGGCATTTTTGAGAGCCAGTTTACCAGTACACTGCTGTGTGGATAAACCATACACTGGTTAAATCTAACTCTTCACTGACTCCCCACCTGCATTTGTATAGCTGAATATGGCTAGAGTAAAACACAGAAAACCATACTGACTGATCTTGCCGTAAATCCATGACCCTGAATGTCATGGGTCATGACATAATGTGTGAGTAATTAATGCTATCCCCAAAACCATGCATTTCCTTGGTCCACTCACCACTCACCACTGTCCTCGGTGACTATAAGTTCTCTTCTTCCCTCCTGAAACCTGACACTTCTCCCATCCTCATTCTCAATGACCTTGCTTTCCATTTCACTGAGAAAACTGAAGTAACAGGAATCTTTTGACATACATACTGTCTTCCCTCCTGCCACTCTAAGTGGGCTACCCTCACCCTGTGCAAAGCCGAGTCCCCATTCCTTCTTACACTCCATATCATATCCCCTCTCAATGAAGCAATGATTACTCTCCAGCAATTCTCTACTCTCCAATCTGCATCAATAATTTTCCCTTCTATACTGGGTCGTTACTGGTGCAACAAACAAATATGTTATTTCCATCAATTAAAAAAAAAAACAACTCTCTGGGGTCCCACTTTCCTCTCCAGCTACCCTCAAATTTTCTGCTCCCTGGGTTAGCCAGACTCCATGAAGGCCCCTAATGGCCTCCACTCTCTTGGTATTCTGGTTCTTATGCAGTTCCCTCCCACACTGTGTCCATGTGATCAACAGAATAGAGCAGAAGTAACAGAATGTAACTTCCCTAAGTGGTAGTTTCTTTATGTATCTTGGATCATCCTCTCTGAAAGAAGCTGGCTGCCTTGTTAGGAGGATACTTAAGCACTCTTATGGAGAATAAGCCTGTGTAGTGAATGAGAAACTGAGACCTCTTGCCAACAGCCAGATGAAGTAAGCCATCTCAGAAGCGAGTCCTCCAGCTCGGGTCAGGCCTTCAGATGACTGCAGCCCTGGCGAACATATTGACTAAAACTTCACAGAACACTGAGCCAGAATCACCCAGCTAAGCCACTCCTGAATTCCTGACACACAGAAACTGAAACAGTAAAGCTTTGCTGTTTTAAGTCACTGTAAGTTTTAATTTTTGTTTCATTTTTTAAGACAGCGTTTTGCTCTGTTGCCCAGGCTGGAGTGCAATGGCTCAAGTGAGTCCCAGGCTCAAGTGATTGTTCCCACCTCAGTCCCTGGAGTAGCTGAGACTATAGGTGTGCACCACCACACTCAGCTAAATTTTTTTTTGTATTTTAGTAGACATGAGGTCTGGCCACGCTGGTCTCAAATTCCTGAGCCCAAGGGATCCTCCTGCCTTGGCCTCCTCCTGGGATTACAGGTGTGAGCCACCATGCCCAGCTTAATGTTATATAGTAATAGATATCTAAGGTACCCACCCTTTAAAGAAAAATGCCTCAGTAACTTTTCTTTATTCACTGTCTGTCGATTTCTCTCCTTTCTCTTTGAAACTCACTCCAGTAGGGCTTTTGCCCTCACACTACCCAGCAACCTGCTTGTCAATAATCACAATGTTGTCAAACTCAATAATCAAGTCTTAGTTTTCCTCTTACTTGATCTATCAAGCAAGATTTCACACGGTTGATCACTTCTGCCTCCATGAAACAGTTTGCTTGTCTTCCTGGAGAAAACACAGAAAACTATACGGACTGATCTTGCCTGAAATTCATTTACATTCATGAGCCCTGTGGATTTCCTTCTTGTTTGTGATTGCTCCTTCTTAGGCTTCTTTGCTGATTCCTCTATCTTGCCATCCTCTTAATGCTGGAGTGCGCCATGGCTCAGCCCTTAGCCCTTTCTTCTTTTCTATCTACCCTCATTCCTTTGGTGATTTCAACTAGTTTCATATTTACACAGTCGTACATGGCCCTTAAGGCCCTACACATCCTTACTAATCAAACTGTTGTCCCAGGATCAGTAACTTCAGTATCACCTGAGGGTTTGTTATCTCTGACCCAGCTCAAGATCTACCAAATCAGAATATAAATTTAACAAGATCTCTAGGAAATTTGTATGCACATTAAAGTTTGAGAAGCACTTCCTTTGTGATCTGCTACCCCATTTCTCCCCTGACTACAACTCCTAACTCACCTGCCGCTAACTGAGCTGACCTCTTCGCCACTGCAAGAATATGGCAGGTGCATGCCCACCTCCAGGCCGGCCAATACTTATCCCTCTGTCTGAAATGCTCTTCCCCAGATATCTCAATACTTGTTGCCTTAACTCCTTTAAGACCTTGTTAATCTATAACCACTTTGGGAGTTGTACTCCGACCGCCTTGTTAAAAATTGCAGACCCACCACCATCACCACCACCATTATGCTCCCCATCACAGGGCTCTATTTTACTTTCCATAGCATTCAGCACCTTTTAATGTAAATTCACTTATTTATCCTACCTATTGCGTTTCCCTCCACTATATTACAAACACTTGAGGGCTGAGATTTTTATCTGTTGTGTTCACTGATGTATCCTACATCCTAGATGAGAGCCTAGAAACAGCATGTGCGCAATAAACTTTTGGTTTTTAAAGTCTTGTCTTCAATTGCTTCTTCAAGGACTTAGTAACCAACACTCTAAGGTGCCACTAAAATCGACTTTCTTCATTAGCAGAATTATTCTCATAAATCTTTCTCCCTGTATCTACCTGGAATCTACTCCACATTTGTGAGAATATTCATCTACTCTGACTACCCTTCAACCAGACCCCAGAACATGCTGCTCCAGACTCCCCACTAAGTCTCATAATTTTTTTAAGACAATTCAAGACCAAAACTTCTTCTCTTGTCCCTCCAAACTTCTCATTTCTTAAATAGTTCTATTCCTCCTTCTCCCTATTCTTTTAGCCAAATATAGCTATAGAACACTTGACATGTGGCTAGCCCAAACTGAGAAGTGCAGAAGCACAAAATACATACCAGATTTTAAAGACTTATTAAGAAAAAAAGAACATAAAATAGTTCATTAATAATTTTCATATCTGGCTTGGCACGGTGGATCACACCTATAATCCCAGCACTTTGGAAGTCCAAGGCGGGAGGATCACTTAAGGTCAGGAGTTTGAGACCAGCCTGGAAAGCATGGTGAAAGGCCATCTCTACTGAAAATACAAAAATTACCTGGGTGAGGTGGCACGCACCTGCAATCCCAGCTACACGAGCACGAGAACTGCTTAAACCCAGGAGGTGGAGGTTACAGTGAGCCAAGATTGCACCACTGCACTCCAGCCTGGGCAACAAACTGAGACTCTGTCTCAAGAAAAACACAATAATAATTTTCATATCTGTTACATTTGATGTGATAGTGGCTTAGGTATATTGGGTTAGATAAAATATATTATGAGGCCAAGCATGGTGGCTCACAACCCTATAATCCCAACACTTTGGGAGGCCAAGGTGGGAGGACTGCTTGAAGCCAAGAGTTCAAGACCAGCCAGGGCAACAAAGCAAGACCCTAAATACAAAAAATCAAAAAATTAGCAGGGTGTGTGTAG